CGGGGCGCAGGCTGGTCGTGTGTCTGGCCGCATGGGTACGGAGCTGCTCAAGAGGCATTTCATCACCAAAGGCTCTTTGTCTGGAAGGCCAGCCACCGTCCCCAACTGTCCCAGGAGGGATGCTGGTGACATGGGGGACACCTCAGCCCCGGGTTCAGAAGGGAGACAGCCCCAGGACCCTCCCCGAGATGCCCCGGAGGACAGGGGTCCCCAGCATCAACCCAGTCAGCACTGGTTTTGGTGGGACCCCACGTGCCCCAGCACCCCAGGTGTCCCCCAGCTCATGGCAACCCCCACCCCTGTGTACCCCATGCTGCCGCAGGCATCTCCCCGCGTCCCCTCGTGTCCCGTCCCACTCCCCAGGCAGGATGCCCAGCTCCTTGCTGGTCTGAACTGGTGCAGGCATCGGCGCTGCGCTTTCACCTGCTCCCAGCCAAGGTGGTTCTGCATCACTTTGCTGCAAAAATAAAGAAACAGCTGGAGGGGAAAAATCCATGGTTGGTAAACAGAGCTGAGCAACCGCAGACCTCTCACCCAGGAGAGGAGGAGGGCAGGGAAAGCAGAGCTGCCTGCAGGCACCCAGGGTTGGATTTCAACACCCTGCAGAAGACAAGATGCTTTTCTTCAGTCCCCACGTGCGGCCCTTATTCCCGCGGCCCCTCTGCTTTGCTTTATTGCTCAGCTGATTTCCCCGAGTCCAACACCACGTCCACTGCCGCTCACCCCGCTTTACGTTGCCTTCAGTGTCCCTCCTGGCAGTGCCAGCTCCCACCACGTCCCTCCTGGATGGGGCCAGAGAAGCAAACCCCAAACCAGAGGCAAAAATCTGCATTTTAAAATCTCCCGTCTGGTTTTTTCCAGTGGCTCTGAACATGTGCACCCTGTGACCCGCCCTCTGGATGCCACCGCTGTCCTCGGGGAGCACTTGTCTGTCCCCAAGACTTTGCCCTGCGTGGCCAGGTAAGGTCATGACAGACAGTCCTGGCGTTGGGTTCCTTCGGTGCCGGCTGCGATGGCTCCGTCCCGCTCCACCCCCGGCATAAATCACGGGGAGCGATAAATCCCTGTCAGCCCTCAGGGACCCGTCCCTGGGGAGGGCAACGGTTCAGCCCTGAGGCAGCAAAACCAAAGATCATGTTTTTCACGGGGATGATCCTACCCCCTGGCACAAACACGAGCCCGGAGCAGGGGGGTGCTGGCACCGCGGCACCCCGGGGCCCAACCGATCA